TAGCCCTGGGACAGGAAACCAGAAAAGCACTAAAAGAAAAGGTTCAATAGAACCAGAGACCACATGAGTTCCCTAAGATTATAAAGTGTCTATTGATTTAAAAATACCTTTCATTTCTAAAAGTCTATGCAAGAAGACAGAATTCTCTCTTTCTGGCACTCAAGGTGTAGTGGATAGGGGGTTGCGCTGACAACGCCAAGGCCATGTCTCTCTGGTTGTGGGAATCAGCCGGCAGCTCTAAGGGAGAAAGACAAGCATCTCCCCTGTGTTTTTTTCCCCGTGTTATTTATAACCTCCTAAAACCCAACGGAGGGTCAGCTCCAAACCAACAGCAATGTTAGAGATGCTTTATAGTAAAAATTACAGAATTGTTGTCCTATGAACTAGTAAACAAATAGTATAGAGAAAACTGTAGGACAAGTTAATAAAGAAGGGTGACAACTAGCTAGATAATAATAACTTTTTTTCCTGGGAGGTCAAGTGTCCACAAAATAAAGAAAAATGCTGATATCAACTGAAATTTTCCTTACAGATATGTGGAAATTCATTCTACTATTCTCTCAGCTTTCATATTCTAAAATAGCCATTGTTCTGGTAATAAAGAGATCACTAGTGATCCTGGGATTGCAGACTGGAGTGGAGGAAACAGAAGCCCAATTTCTAGAAAAAGGAGAATATAGGGAGAAATAGGATGCCTTTACACCAGAAGCATGCTTCCCCAGCATTCTAGTTCACAGTCACTGAGCACGCACATCCTACAGACTTAACTCTGTAATGAGCCCCCTGAGACAGTCATAATGGAGCTGCAGACAATAGCAGTGGGGCTGAAGAGAAGCCATTTCTGTTTTTCATGTATAAGATAGTCTGCAGAGGTAGAGCCTCATAGCCCAACCCTTGCCTCTGGGCTGGCCTTGTGAGTTGCCGTGATACAGAGAATATCATGCCAGTTGCAGAGTTCAGGCTTTCAGAGGCCTGTGGCTTCTACCTTTATCTTCTCAGATCCCTGATGCTGCCATGCCATGAAGAAACCTAAGACCAATGATCCAGCAGTGAGAGCAGCCCAACTGTCCCCTCTGAGCCCAACATCCAGTCAACCCAGACAAAACCAGCAGGATGGCCTCCTAGCACATGGAATGGCAAAATCATTAATAAATAAATAATTTTAAATTTTTTTTTAAATGTGGTTTTAAGTCACCAAGTGTGGAGTGGCTTGCTACAAGCACTTAGCAAGGGTAACAGCCAAGGCAAAGTCAGGTAAATGTCTTCAGGCAAAGGAACTATAGCCTCAAGGGGCAGAGGGGGATAAGGTCATCATCCAAATCCTCCCATATGGCTCCTGTCAATTCTTATCTTGGGATCGGTGCCCTAAATATCACCTAAGACCTAACAAGGATATGGATTAGACAGTAAGATTTGGCAACTGCATTATAAACCTCATGGCTTGATAAACTGTGTGGCACGCTTAGCACCCCCCTCTTGTTCCTGTGTCCCCCACCCCTCCCCTGCTAAGTTCTACAATAAGTAAAGGAGGAATGACAGGAAGGAAAATAAAGTAGCAAAGTTGGTCTCCTCTGCTAAGTTCCACCCACTCTGAGTAAAGGAGGAATGACAGGAAGGAAAATAAAGCAGCAAAGTTGGTCTCTCCTTAGGATGCGTGTTTCAGTGCAGAAATGCTTTCTGGTTCATGTGGGAATGGTCAGGGGCTTCAGTCCACCTACAAATGAGACACTGGAGATGTTGTTTCCCTCATCTGAGAATCCTTTCTCTCCTCTTCCATCTCTGGTACTCTTCTTCCAGGGACTGTCCCTTGAGCACATCAGCTCACTATGCCCTGCAGGTAGTGTGGCATAAAGGAAAGAACCAGGCTTTGACGTCACAGAGACATGAGCTCAAATCCCACTGCTGCTGTGTAATCCTACACTGCTTATCTTACTCCTAACTCACAGTTACTGGCCACATACTACTTGCCAAATATCATGGATTCCACCAGGCCACCAGAGCACCCTCATGGATTATCTCACTTAACTCTTACCACCTGTGAAGTAAATACTAATAAAAATCATTATCATTTCCATTCTATGTAATAGGAAATTGGTTTAGAAAGGTTAAGTAACTTGCCCAAAGTCAAATGGCTAGGAAACAGAAGAACTGGGACTCCTGCCAGGTGTTAGATCCCTACACCTTTGCTGCTAAGCACCACCGCACCAGACCACCATCTGTACCACCAGGTAGGCAGTCAGTAAAAGATTAAACCTCAGTTCCCCACACCTGCACCCCTTACAACTAGCAGGGTCACCACCTCTCTAAGACTTTTAATTATCATCATGGGGGGCATGTAGTCTCTGAATGGCATAAACAATTAATGAATTAGCTGTTTCAGGTCTACTCAGAGACACCTCAGAAAAAAAAAATCTGTCGACTTACTTCCGAGAAATTAAACAAAAATCCACTGAGGCTGTAAATCTTTACAGGAAAGAATACCTGATCTTTCTCCTGTGGAGTAGCAGGCCAACACACAATAACCTCCATTGCCAGGGATCCTTCCTGAAAACTCAGCTACTGAAAACCCTATGGAGCAGTTTCACACTCACATAGGAGGTCCCCTTGAGCCTTAATGGATTCTAAGGCAACAGTTGGGTCAGGTGGGAACAGCAATGGCCCCAAGTGGAAGAAAGACTCCATGATGGGCCACTGGGGGGTGCTGACCCTGGTTTAGCCCTAACCTGCCCTCCACCCCACCTACACTGCCATTCTCCACACCAGCAACTCCAGGTCTCACCATGAGAAGCTTGATGTCTGGAATGGAAAGGGAGCAAAGGAGTTGTACCTTCCCCACATGCGGGCCATCAGGGCCCCATTTACACTCAGGTCTGGCTTCTTTCACTGCACCAATCCCATATCCAGGAGTTCCAGGTTCCAGGCCAGCCATGTTTGTTAGAGACAGGCCTGTGTTAGATTCCCACCTAACTGGGATATTGTGGGGATTCCACAAGTTGTATTAATATAAGCACATCCTGCCCCTTTCTTTCTGAAATCTGGCCAATCCCTCCCCAGGCCTTCTTGTGCAAAAAGGCAAAAGTTGTTCAGCATCAAATCCCAGTCCCGGCTCACAGACTATGGGACCTCAGGCAAGGCATCTAAACCTGTGATATAAGCTTTAGTTATCGCAACAGTAAAATGAGTGATAATCCCTACCTACCCAGATCAGTAAAACATTTGGAAAAAAAAATTATATTGGGAGAGCTGTGCTATTAATCCAAAGGCTGGGCATCTGGCAGTGAGAATCCACCAGCGGCCCCTTAGAAGAAAGAAAGGCACGGTCTTCAGACGTCTCGTGTAATTTACAGCCTCAGAAACCGCTGGAAGGTTGGCTAGGGGTTGGACCTGACCATTCCAGTGAGAGGGAGTAAGAGGAGCTCCAGGAGGGAGCTCTGATGTATCACAGCCCTGGAGCCCTTCTTCTAGCACAGCCCTTTCATTTATTCACTCAGCGAAGTGTCAAATGCTGAATCTAGATGCAATAAACCTAGCAATGAACAAACAAGGTTCTAAATTCTCATGGACACAGACATACGCCCATGAAACACAAACCAGCCCCACTGGTCATTCCACATCATAGAGAACTGCTGCATAGGATCCTATAAATATTTATGGAAGTAAATCTTCCTCAAATGAAGAGGCTGGTGGGTTCAAATCCAGGACCTTGGAGATAGCAACCAAGCATTCTAGTTACAGCACCACCAGGATCCCACCATAATGAAAAGGGGCCAGTAACATGGGAAAACATTGTAGAGAAACTGAGGAGGTGGGAAAGGTGCTGCTTTATATTAAGCAGTCAGCAAGCTTCTCTGAGTAAATAATAGTGCAAAGGCCCTGAGGCAGGGAATAAGCCTGGGAACAGAAAGCTCAAGTGAGTGTAGTGGGTACGTACTTGTCACTGTCCTTACGTCTCCACCTCCAGGACAGAGATCTGATTTCCTATGTCTGGGATGTGGGACTGAATAGTTTTGCTGATACCTCATGGTGATAATAATGGGACTCAATCAGTTGGCCACTCTGCAACCCTATTTACAGCTTGGAGGACTATAGCTGGGATGCTTGACCAGGTAGATCAAGTAGCAAAGATGAAGCTGGGATCCAGTTTCCTCTGCCTCCCTAGACACTGGTTGGTATCTTGTTCTGTGCCCCTAAGGTACGAAGTCAGAACCCTGGGTAACTGTTTCAAGAGGGACTGCGTAGGGTCCTTCTTCTCTCCCTGCTACAATCCCAACACACTGGGTCACGTGAGAACAAGGATTCTCCAGAAGTCCTTCCCATCTTCCCTTCCAAAGTCCTGAATAGGAAACCTGCTACATACCTGCTTGAGTCTGTATCTTCGGCCTGGGTATGGGATGAAGGTCAGCTGGAAATTAAGGATGAAGACTAAAAACTGAAAACACCCAGTCTCTGCAGCCTCTTCTCTAGGGCTGTCAGAAGCAATGAGACACAAGTTCCCCAAAATCATTTTCCCAGTCAGTACTCAATGGGCCTGCCACATGTTATTATCTGTGTAAAATTAACCACTGATATCTTACACTTAACAGGGTTTGTTAGTACCAAACCTGGCTTAAAAGAATGAGACCTTGTGCCCTGAGAATTAACATGGGGCTCCACTATGACCAATATTTTTCCATGCTCCCACAAAACGTCACTGGAAAAGTTTTATTGAAAAACAAAATTATACAAATAAGCTCTTAGTTTGAAAACAAAAGGTTCGTGTTCCCCCTTCCCTCCCCATCTTTGGAAAAACTAAGGAGAAGGAAGCAGGGGGGAAAGAGTTCATCCCAGGACGCCTGATTCGTGACCAGAGTTTGCCAGGATCCCTTGCTATGGACTGTCTTCCAATCCCCCTCACTGGGGCCAGGGCCGTTCTGGGGGTACCTGGTCCCAGAGGCTTCAGCACCTTGTTTACAGTTGAGGGAAGTGGCGAGAAGGTTGGAATAGAGCTGGGGTGATGCCTTCCTCCAGCTCAATTCTGGTTCACAGAAAGCATACTTGGCTTATAAATAGGAACACTGTTTGAAGCCCGATCCTAGGCCTGTGAGGCCGGGGGTTATTGACTACCACACCGGTCCCACAGGACACTGAGTCTCTGGGCCCATCATCATGGAATCTGGAGGCCCATGTCCAAGCAGAGAGGATCCTGTTCACTCAGACATTGGGCAATCCTGTTCTGTTTCCCCACCCTCCCACCCCTGTGGAACGTCCAAGGCCAACGCCTCAGATCCCCACCCCACCAGAATAGCACCCATGTGTCTCAGCAGCCTTCTGCTGCCTCCTGACATCCCACACCCACCCTGGAGCCCTACAACTCATCACGCATCTTGTCACCCTTGGGCCGGACCAAGCGCCCAATGAACAGCAGGGAGCCGCTCTGGCTGTCTCGCACCAGGAAGATGAAGGGGTGGTCAGCGTAGAACAGCTTGGGGCTGCGCAACTCCTCACGGCCATAGATGTCCTGGTCAAAGGGGTTGCCTTCTGTGTCCCACTCAAAGGCAGTGGCATGGAACACGCTGGCCAGGTACAGGTCCTTCTTGCCTGACATCCGTGACAGGTCTGCCTTGTTCTTGTCGATGGCCTCAGTCAGACCCAGTCCAGCCAGGTGTTTCTGTGGGACCAGGTAGGTGCCAGGTGAAGCCACAGAAGGCAAGGTTCACATACCCTCACCCTCCATCCCCTACCCCACTTGGCCATTCCTCAAAGGGGAGGACCTTCTTATGTGCCAGATAGCAAGGGGCCCTTCAAATTACACTTCTCTTCAGTCTCACAACCACATCGCAAGAGTCTAATCCTCACTTTACAGATCAGAAAACTGAGGCTTGGGGAAAAGGTCTGACTATAACGCTAGCGCTCTGAACCATCGTGACCAGTGCATCATGGCAGGTTGGTTCATGGAGCAGCAGCATCAGCACCACGTGGGAGTATATTAGACATTCACACGTCCTGATGGTGGCCCAGGGTCACTGCCCCAGGAACCTCGCTGCAGTGAGCTCTCCAGGTGAGATCACACTGAAGGGCACTATGTCCACATCACATCATGTCTCAGGGGCTCAGTGAGGACTAATTCCAAGTTCCTGAACCTTTCTGAACCTCAATTCTATCTATATTTATGATAAAGTTACAGATTTATCATCTGTAGAACAGGTTTATCTAAGACTTGTTTTGAGGACCGAAGAGTTTAATAGGTACAGGCCATCTTATGAGTGTCTGACTTGTGATGGGCAACTCTTACCTGCCTCTTAAACTAGTTTGGTCATATTGCATGACACAAAACAGGAATAGATCCAGGGTTTAACAATTTGACAGATTCCCATGGTACCCAGAACAGGTAAGACTGGGGTGGATGGTGGTGGTAGTGGTGGTGGGAAGCCTGGAATTAGAGACTCTGAAGCCCAATCCTAGGCCTGTGAGGCCGGGGGTTATTGACTACCACACCGGTCCCACGGGACACTGAGTCTTCATGCACAAAAGTGATTCACTGGCAGAACTGCAGGAGAGGGTCACACATTCTGAGCAGTGCAGTCAGCTGCCATGTTGGAAAGGGGCACTAAAACTGGTACCACCATCTTTGAGCAGGGCTGTACTATTTCAGAGTATGTTCCAAATCCAAGAGATTTAGTTCCTATGCAACGGATAGATACACTGCCTTTCTTCTGTAAGGAGATTTCATTTCTAGCAAGGTTTCAACCCCTATGTTTCCCATTCTAGCTACCTTTGTAGTTCACTGTAACTTTAAAAATTTGGTTGTCTTCTAGTGATGCTTCCTCTGCCATGACTGAACCAGGCAGACCAGTTTGAAACTCTGACAGATTCTTGAGTACAGTTAGATATGGATTTCATTTATAACCCATGGGCAGCCCAGATAAAGCTCTTAAAGCCTGGGATGGAGCAAATACTCAATGACATTTAGCTACTGGTAGAACTAATCATCAGGGAGCTCTGGTGACCTGGTGGCAAGATGCTGCACTGCAATCCCAGAGGCACATGGTTTGAATCCACCAAGTGGAGTCTCTATGGGAGAAGGATGAGCAATCTTCTCCCGTGCAATTAATTGCCACTAAAAACCCAGTGGAGGGTCAGCTATGGATCACTTCTGACTCTATGGTACTCAACAACAACAAAGCTAACCACCACCTGATCCATCAACTCTCCTTGGGCAGGAGCAGGGCCCTTACCTCCTCTTCCAGCCTAGACCAGGTCTGCCTGGACAGCCAGGGTGCTCAGGCAAACCCCACTGAGCTGCTAAGTGGGTGCCCAAACCATTTCTTCCTGCAGGCCCTGAGCAGGGCCATGCCTCACCTGCAGGTCGTGGGTCACTTCCACCACACCCTTGGGCAGGGAGATGGCCACGGCCTTCTTCTGCATCTTCCCCATCCAGATCTTCAGCTGCTCCTTGGTCAGCAGCTTTTCAAGGCGCTCGAGAGGCTCCACGTGGTGGGGCATGAGGATGATGAGGCTTGAGAGCTTGTGGGCCAGAGGCATCTCCACCATTTGTAGCTTCTCCTTCTCGTCGTCGTAGTAGTTGTAGAGGCCTGAGAGAAGGGCGGCGAGGGCACTGAGCACGCCGCAGGCTGGGGCAGGCCTGGCTCAGACACCTCTCTAGTCCCTCCACCCCCCAAAGAACCTACCTGTGCGGTGCATCATCGTGACACCCACAGTATAGGAACGGGTCACCATGAAGCCCCGGTTGTCCACCATCTTGTGGTGGAATTTCTCGTCCCAGTGTGCTGTAGTGGGAGGAAGAAGACAGGGTCGGATCACAGGGTCCACTCCAAGGCACCCTCTCCCACAGACACAACTGCAGTGCACACCACCTCAACCACACACTCTCAACCTGCCTCTGTCACAAGGGTCTGTGCTCCATTCCCAGGGTCCAGCAGTGGCCCACCTCCTCCCCATGCACTAAGCACAGGTTCTGTGCTCTGGGAAGGGAGTCTTAGCCCCAGGAATGTTGCCTGAAGCTGTGAATTTCTACAGTCAGCGCTCAGCTGCTCCTGCATGACACTGAATTCCTCAGAAGGAAGACCCTCAGCTCAGGCTCTTCTGTGTCCACGTTCACATCCCCACCCTGGCACCTGTGTGGCTGAGCTGGGCTTCCTATCTACCTGTCTGCTGAGGGTTCAATGCCATAAGCAGGAAGTTTCCCCAAGATTAGCCTCTGTCTCAGAAACAAAAAAAAAAATTAACCAAAACATAATGTGTATACCAGCAGGTTGAGTTCTGCCCTACCGTTACAACAGCAGTTGTTGTTAGATGTCAACATGACCCACAGCAACAATATGGACCACAGATCCGTACCCTGCCCTATCCTGTGCCATCCTCCAAAAACGACGCCCTAACAACAGACCTGTGTTTAAATCCAGGCTCACCCACGGACTATAAGACCTTTCCACCAATCCCACTTTGGGGTCATTTGTGAAACGGAGAGGTTGCCTCATCCTCACAGCTAATGTGAGAAACAAAATCAATCTCTATAGGTACTAAAACATATTCATTAAGCAATTCAATATTGACCCTGAGTCAGACACACCTGGCCCAAATCCTGGCTCTGGTATATCTCCTCCCTGGGCCTGTTCTTTCTGCGAACTTGGTACTGCCTGACCCCAGAGTTACTGAAGATGAGAACAGAGGCGTGGGATGGATCTGCAGTGCCCCACGGAGGCATAACTAATCACTGTGTGTTATGGATTCCAAGAACCCTTGTTGCTGTGTGCTGTTGGAACCAACTCACAGCTGACCCTCCATTGGGTTTCCAGAGGCAGTATATAGCACAAGAGGAGAATGTTCATCCTCCTCGTGGGGCAGCTGGTGGTTTTGAATCACATACCTTTGGGATTGCAGTGCAGCTTCTTACAACTAGGCCACCTGAGCTCCTTCTAAGACCCCCAACTATCCCTAAAACCAGATAGCCTTTTACAAACAATAGCATTTATATTGAGAAAATGTATAGTAGCACTGCCTCCCTGGAGCATCTACACAGTTTGAATCTCCGATCTCTTGAAACTTCGTTTCTAGTATTTAAGAAGGGTGACAATGTCTGCCTCTACAGATCCTGAGAACTGGATGACAAGCAGTAAAATGTGTAACACAGGATAGCTGCTAGAGCATGTTCCCGGTTCTTGTGGGAAGACCCTTGCCCCCTGGCCCTCTCGCAGGTCTCGTCCTGGACTCACGCTTGAAGAACATGGCGTTGACCAGCAGGGCACCGTCCGTGCGCTCCACGTCCTTGGTGACCTCGGGCAGCTTGCCGTCGGTGGTCTGCGCGGCCCACTCATTGATGGACTGCAGGGCACTGCGCTTGTCGCGGAAGTTGATCTTGGAGTGCTCACAGTTGTAGTGCTGCTTGCTGCTGCGCACGAAGTCGTCCGCGAAGCTCACGGAGCTGGGCCCGTACAGCCGGCTGCCCAGCTTCCACGTGACATTGCGCGCCGTGCTGTTGCTGAGCGAGCGCAGCAGCTCGCCCAGGCCCGTGTGCACCTCTTCATCGCGCAGCTGCTCCGCGCTCAGCACTGCCTTGGCCTGGGACGCAGTGGTCGCCTTGCCACCCAGAGACACAAGGCCCAGCGATGAGGCCACCACCACAGGCGACAGCAGGATATTCTCCACTGCCTGGTCCTTGGCCATCGCCTGGTACAGGCTGAAGGCCAGGCTGGCACTGCGCTCAGCCAGCGTGGTGGCCTTAGAGCTCAACTTCTCCGCCGTGCCCGGAGGTGCTGGTTTCTTCACCTCTGCAGCCAGAGCCACCACCAAGAAGCAGGTGCCAAGAAGCAGGAGGGAGCGCATGGCTGGGAGGGGAGGTGGGCTGTGCACGCCTCAGACCTGTGAGACCTGCAGAGAGAGGGTGACTCTGAAGCCTTGGCCATCCTTCCAGCCACCATGTCCCCAGGCGGCAGCAGAGCAATAAAGACAGAGCACTGGGGATGACGGGGGGGATGCCCAGGCTGGGGTCCGTCAGGTCAGAGGCCTTCCCTGAAGTCTCTACCTAAAGCCAGGTTCTTGCCAACTCACCACCCTACAGATTCTTTGCATTGGTCTTCCAAGTCATATTTATCTTTGTTTGCGTATTTCTGTCTCCCAAGACAGAATAAAAAGAGGCCACTTTCCCACCATATCCTCAGCATCTACTGCACAGTCGGCCTTGGCTGTTTCTATAAAGCAGGGCCCCTTGGCCGACTTGAAGTCCACCCTGCAGTGTGCAGAGGTCGGCCTTGATCTCACACAGCCCTAGCACACTTTTCCAGTAGAAGGTAGACAAGCGTCTGCATGAAACCCAGGTATGTGGGGAAGGGCTGTCACACTGAGACAGCTGCAGAACGGCCCTTCCCCCTGCCTTTCATTCTGCCCTGGGATGGTGATGACTCACTAGTTGGTTCACTTATTAAATGAGGGAAGCCCAGATGCTCCATTTTACTGTCCCAAGTAAGGTGCTGGTGTCTGTGAGAGGGTGAATTTTGCCCCTCTCTGAGCCTTAACATTCATGTCCAGGACGCTATCTTGGTAAGTACTTGGCTTTCCCATCTGCCCAGCTCCCAGAACAAATGGGAAATGAGCAGACCAAAAGGTCCACGGTCGGCAACTTCCAACACTTAGGGTAGGAAGGTGGGGACTTCCTGAGAGAACAGCAAGGACAGGATGCTGGGGGACAGTGAGTCACAGCTCAGTGGAGGACCAACAGGGCGCCCCTCCCATCACCAAGGCTGTCCAGTGGGTGTTTAACCTTCCAGGAAGCTGGGACATCAGATTCCATTCTGTCTTAATCATCTGACAGCCACTGCCACACAGGTCATCTGCTCTATGGTTTTGAGGGTGTCCTCAGACACCTTCCTCCAACTAAAAGTAGTACCCATGGCCCCTAGGACAAGCCATACTCCCTCTCTGGAGACAAACCCCTTTCCATGGAGTAGTTCCAACTCCCTTCCTACTCGACACTGCAGCAGCCCTGGTGGAGGCTGAGGGGAAGCTGGAATCCCATCCCATGTCTTCCTCAAAGAAAACCAAAGCCCCAGAATCCTTACAGAAAACCCTCCAGACTCTGGGCTACCTGTGGGGGCATGAGGTTTCAGATTCCGCTGCCATAGCTGTCCCCACTTCCCTGAGCTGTCACCCTCTAGGGCCTTGAGGGACAGTGCAAAGTAGCAAGAGTATGAAAGGAGTAAAGGGACAAGTGAGATCCACAAATGCTCAGAGGATGGTACAAGAAAGCTGTGAGATAGGTTGAGGGCAAGGTGAATCCTTGGGGCCCAAACTAAGCTCCAGGCCACTTCCCTCCCAGGCTTGGCTCCTTCCCCGTCAAATCTGAAGCAGCAAAATCAGTGTGACCATCTGATGCACTGTCCAAATGGGGATGCTTCTAGAGTAAAAAGGAACCCAGCAACTTCCTATGCCAGGATGGCAGGAATGATCCTGCTAAAGCCGCGTCTGGTGCAGAGAAATGATGGTGGAGCTCAAACCCCTGCATTCTCAGGGAGTCCAGGCTCCCAGCCCTGCCACGTGGCAGCCCCCACCCCTAGCCAACCAGAACCTCAAAAGGCTGGGAGGGGCTTTCCAAGAAAGCTCCAAATCACTAGTTTGGGATTCCTCAAGCTGCCACACAGCTGCGCTCTGACGTGGCAGGCAAGGAGCTTAATTATCTCTGGCGACCAGCAGAGGGGGGCTTCCACCAGGAAAGTAGGAGGCCCGAGTTCAGGTTCAGGGATTTGCCACAACACTCCCCAGAAGCCACTTTGGGCCTTCCTTTCACATCCTGTGCATCAGTCTCTGAAGGAATTTGAGCAGCAGAGAAGAAAGGCTGCCACGTTAAATCCAGCAGCAGCAAGAGAGGAGGGCAAGTTACTGCAAGCAAACCAACCTCCCACAGCCCCAGCCCATCTTGCCACAGAGAAATCCCTGCTTTCAGGCCAGCTTTAGACGATTTACAGTCCCAAGGGGGGGGGGGAATATAATAAAACAACAAATCATATTGCCAAGGGCTGTGCGCACAGCTACCCAGTTAAGACTGGGTGAGGGCTGGACTAGAGTTTTGGTTAAGTCAGAGGGAAGGGAAAGAGATGGCCGGAGCCACCAAAGGCCTCAAACCCTGAGGAAGTAACTTGAAAGGAGTCTAAAGTACCTTGAAACTGCCTCAGAGGGAGGTCATTGCCTGCCTTTTTCATTCTGAAAGAAAACAGAAGAGTGAGGAAGACAGGAAGTGAGATGGACCCAGCCCCCAAAGGGCACCTATCTTCACACTGCCTCTCACAGAGGACAGAACCAGGCCCAGATCTACAACGGCCTTAGAATCATGCCTCACTCACTGTCCTGTGAGAAGTGAAATCAGAGAGGGGCAGGGAGTGACCCTGGGTCCCTTGGGGATGTGGGGGGGGCTAGCTCCCTGTTCCAGACGGGCCCTCTGGAGGGCTGTAGATGGTGTCCTGCTGCACAGCCAGCCAAAAAAGAATCTAATCTCTGCAGGGGAATCCCCGTGACCAGACAAAAGGAAGGGTCAGGAGGCCTCAGAAAGGGGGCCTGAGCGGATGGACTCTTGGAGACCAGCAGGGTGTGGCTAGCCACCGAATTCCAGGGAACTGAAGCCCCTCAATTTTCCCTCGGACTCCATCCGGACCCTAGGGCCCAGAGGGACCAGCAGGAAGCCTGGATGGAGGAGGAGCCCGGCTTCTGGGCCAGCCTGGAAGTGTTTTCCTTCTTCCTTCCTCCTTGCTGGTCACCTCAGGAATGTCCCTAAGCTGGGGGAAGGGAATGCTGCCTGGGAAGTGGCCTGCACCCTGCAGTTATCCAGGCAGTGGGGGACGGGATGAGGGTGGTGGGTGCAGCAGCCTTGGTGCCTCTCCTCCTTCCCCTGCCTGGGGAGATGCACACTCAGGCAACTCCTCACCCTCTTCTTTTTTGGAGATTAGAGAGGAGAGTGCCGGTAATCAAGTCTCTCCTTTAACTGACTTCAACTACACACAGCAGGCCACTGATCAGAACTGCAGCCACCCTTTCAGGGCATAGCCACTCCAAGAGCCAAGAATAACATCCCAGGAAATGCGTGACCCTTTCCACATCACCCAGCCCCGATCTTCAGCAGGGGTTGGGGGTCAGTTGTTCCCCAAAAAGCTCATCAGGCACCTGGGGGGGGGGTCAGCTCTGGCCTGTCCCCTTCATTGCTGCCGCCACACCATCTCCTCTATTCCTGCAGAAGGGCTGGTATCAGCGCCCTGACCCCGAGCCCTACCGTCTCCTCTGTTGCCCCTCGCTCCAAATCTCGGACCTCTGAGATCCCAGGTCCCCCCATTAGGCTCTGACCACTATCCTGGTCCTCAGGTGTACTGCTCGCATCAGCCCTCGAGTCCAGGCCCTCGACTCGCAGCCCTGCAGCTGCCCGCGGCTGGGCGATCCTGGACTGGCCGCCCACCCTTCCCGGAGCCACCGCCCGGGTGACTCGCGCGGCCCCCGGGACCCCCGCCCTCACCTGGGCCCTGTTCGGCCGCGAGCAATCAGCTTCGGGGCTGCAGACGATCCGCTCTCCACCCTCTCCCCGCTCCCTGGATCTTTATATGGCGTCCCGCCTCCCGCCCGGCCCGAGAAACTTCTGGAAAGTTGGAAAAGCTTCCGGAGGTCGCCGGGCTTCGCCAAAAAAAGCCAAAAGACCTCCCCCAAACCTCCTGTCCCCCGCCCCCTCCCTCTCGGGCACTCTCCCGGCCCCTGGGTCCTACTGCCGCCCTCGTCGGATTGCGGTGGAGCCGCGGGGTCCTCCAGGACACACAAGGGCACGCGGGCAGCCTGGGACTCCACCGAGACCCACGACCTTTGCGGGGACTCGGGCCACTGAGCTGCAGAGGACACTGGGCTCCAAGGTCCAGCTCCCCAGCAGAGAAGTCCCCTCTCACCTTCCTGCTCCCTGACAAGCCAAACCGCCCCGGGTCACCATTCCTTTCCGCACCCTTCGCCTGCTGGTGGCTTTGCCACAGAGAAGATCCTTCTCTGATTTTGAGCTAAAGAAGCTTAACTGCTTCTCCCTCACCCACTCCTTGAAGAGTCAGCCAAGCCTCTTCTCCTTTGCTTCAGGGAAGATGACCAGACTTTTGGGAGACATCCTGGACGTCTTGGTAGAGCTCAAGCTCAACCTCATTGTCCCTGCAAGTTTGGCATTGATGGTTGGCCTGGGGGGCAGAGAGATGAGACCCAGTACCTGCACCTGGAAAGTCCAGGCCTTGAAGCTGTGCAAGCAGTGACAGTAAAGATTGAGTGGTGCCGCAGGGCCCAGAAGGGTGCAAGAAACGGAGGCCTTGGCTCTCCACGAGAGTTGCTGTGCAACTCTAAGCAGGTTACTTCGTTCCCTTGCCTGTGAAATAGGGTACTAAGTTGGTCCTAGCAACCTTTCCCCTGTCTCTTTTTAGTTTTTTTGCTCATCCCTGCCCCCTTCCAGTCTGTGACCCCTCCCACAGGAATAGGTTTTTCTCTCTGCCTATCTACTTCCACCCTTCCTCAGTGATAGCCCCTTGAGCTGAGCTAAGCTGGAGCATTCATTATTGTTTCTGGGGGCTGAGGACACTGCTCAGACTGGGCAAAGTCCTTGCTCTCAAGAATTGACATTCTATGGAGGTAATTCCTGGTAGATAATTCCAAGGATAAAGCATTACTTAGAACACCCCACCCCACCCCAACCCTACCCCAATTAGTCTTCTTTATGAACAGAAGGGCAGAGTCTGGAGAGGAAGACATAAGTCGCTCATTCATTTAATCAACAAAATGTGTTGAGCATCTCTCTTCCAGGCACATCTCATAGTCCTAGAGAGCAAATGAATACTCAAGCTCAAAATTAA